GTTGTAGGACAGTGGTGGGGTAGTTGTAGGACAGTGGTGGGGTAGTTATAGGACAGTGACTGGTAGTTGTAGGACAGTGGTGGGGTAGTTATAGGACAGTGGTGGGTAGTTGTAGGACAGTGGTGGGGTAGTTGTAGGACAGTGGTGGGGTAGTTGTAGGACAGTGGTGGGGTAGTTGTAGGACAGTGGTGGGGTAGTTGTAGGACAGTGGCTGGTAGTTGTAGGACAGTGGTGGGGTAGTTGTAGGACAGTGGTGGGGTAGTTGTAGGACAGTGGTGGGGTAGTTGTAGGACAGTGGTGGGGTAGTTGTAGGACAGTGGTGGGGTAGTTGTAGGACAGTGGTGGGGTAGTTGTAGGACAGTGGTGGGGTAGTTGTAGGACAGTGGTGGGGTAGTTGTAGGACAGTGGTGGGGTAGTTGTAGGACAGTGGTGGGGTAGTTGTAGGACAGTGGTAGTTGTAGGACAGTGGTGGGGTAGTTGTAGGACAGTGGTGGGGTAGTTGTAGGACAGTGGTGGGGTAGTTGTAGGACAGTGGTGGGGTAGTTGTAGGACAGTGGTGGGTAGTTGTAGGACAGTGGTGGGGTAGTTGTAGGACAGTGGTGGGGTAGTTGTAGGACAGTGGTGGGGTAGTTGTAGGACAGTGGTGGGGTAGTTGTAGGACAGTGGTGGGGTAGTTGTAGGACAGTGGTGGGGTAGTTGTAGGACAGTGGTGGGGTAGTTGTAGGACAGTGGTGGGGTAGTTGTAGGACAGTGGTGGGGTAGTTGTAGGACAGTGGTGGGGTAGTTGTAGGACAGTGGTGGGGTAGTTGTAGGACAGTGGTGGGTTGTAGGACAGTGGTGGGGTAGTTGTACAGTGGTGGGGTAGTTGTAGGACAGTGGTGGGGTAGTTGTAGGACAGTGGTGGGGTAGTTGTAGGACAGTGGTGGGGTAGTTGTAGGACAGTGGTGGGGTAGTTGTAGGACAGTGGTGGGTTGTAGGACAGTGGTGGGGTAGTTGTACAGTGGTGGGGTAGTTGTAGGACAGTGGTGGGGTAGTTGTAGGACAGTGGTGGGGTAGTTGTAGGACAGTGGTGGGGTAGTTGTAGGACAGTGGTGGGGTAGTTGTAGGACAGTGGTGGGGTAGTTGTAGGACAGTGGTGGGGTAGTTGTAGGACAGTGGTGGGGTAGTTGTAGGACAGTGGTGGGGTAGTTGTAGGACAGTGGTGGGGTAGTTGTAGGACAGTGGTGGGGTAGTTGTAGGACAGTGGTGGGGTAGTTGTAGGACAGTGACAGTGGTGGGGTAGTTGTAGGACAGTGGTGGGGTAGTTGTAGGACAGTGGTGGGGTAGTTGTAGGACAGTGGTGGGGTAGTTGTAGGACAGTGGTGGGGTAGTTGTAGGACAGTGGTGGGGTAGTTGTAGGACAGTGGTGGGGTAGTTGTAGGACAGTGGTGGGGTAGTTGTAGGACAGTGGTGGGGTAGTTGTAGGACAGTGGTGGGGTAGTTGTAGGACAGTGGGGGGTAGTTGTAGGACAGTGGTGGGGTAGTTGTAGGACAGTGGTGGGGTAGTTGTAGGACAGTGGTGGGGTAGTTGTAGGACAGTGGTGGGGTAGTTGTAGGACAGTGGTGGGGTAGTTGTAGGACAGTGGTGGGGTAGTTGTAGGACAGTGGTGGGGTAGTTGTAGGACAGTGGCTGGTAGTTGTAGGACAGTGGTGGGGTAGTTGTAGGACAGTGGTGGGGTAGTTGTAGGACAGTGGTGGGGTAGTTGTAGGACAGTGGTGGGGTAGTTGTAGGACAGTGGTGGGGTAGTTGTAGGACAGTGGTGGGGTAGTTGTAGGACAGTGGTGGTAGTTGTAGGACAGTGGTGGGGTAGTTGTAGGACAGTGGTGGGGTAGTTGTAGGACAGTGGTGGGGTAGTTGTAGGACAGTGGTGGGGTAGTTGTAGGACAGTGGTGGGTAGTTGTAGGACAGTGGTGGGGTAGTTGTAGGACAGTGGTGGGGTAGTTGTAGGACAGTGGTGGGGTAGTTGTAGGACAGTGGTGGGGTAGTTGTAGGACAGTGGTGGGGTAGTTGTAGGACAGTGGTGGGGTAGTTGTAGGACAGTGGTGGGGTAGTTGTAGGACAGTGGCTGGTAGTTGTAGGACAGTGGTGGGGTAGTTGTAGGACAGTGGTGGGGTAGTTGTAGGACAGTGGTGGGGTAGTTGTAGGACAGTGGTGGGGTAGTTGTAGGACAGTGGTGGGGTAGTTGTAGGACAGTGGTGGGGTAGTTGTAGGACAGTGGCTGGTAGTTGTAGGACAGTGGTGGGGTAGTTGTAGGACAGTGACTGGTAGTTGTAGGACAGTGGTGGGGTAGTTGTAGGACAGTGGTGGGGTAGTTGTAGGACAGTGGTGGGGTAGTTGTAGGACAGTGGTGGGGTAGTTGTAGGACAGTGGTGGGGTAGTTATAGGACAGTGGTGGGGTAGTTATAGGACAGTGGTGGGGTAGTTGTAGGACAGTGGTGGGGTAGTTGTAGGACAGTGGTGGGGTAGTTGTAGGACAGTGGTGGGGTAGTTATAGGACAGTGAATGGTAGTTGTAGGACAGTGGTGGGGTAGTTGTAGGACAGTGGTGGGGTAGTTGTAGGACAGTGGTGGGGTAGTTGTAGGACAGTGGTGGAGTAGTTGTAGGACAGTGGTGGGGTAGTTGTAGGACAGTGAATGGTAGTTGTAGGACAGTGGTGGGGTAGTTGTAGGACAGTGACTGGTAGTTGTAGGACAGTGGTGGAGTAGTTGTAGGACAGTGGCTGGTAGTTGTAGGACAGTGGTGGAGTAGTTGTAGGACAGTGACTGGTAGTTGTAGGACAGTGGTGGGGTAGTTGTAGGACAGTGGCTGGTAGTTATAGGACAGTGGCTGGTAGTTGAAGGAAAGTGGCGGGAAGCTTCAAACGTCTGGAGAAAGAATGCGTGGAAACAAATGTATGTAAATGAGTTGTTTTTTCTGCCCTGTGGTGATAGGGAAGATTTAGTGGGTAAAATGAGTAGGGAAGGGTGGTCCGGGAGCTATGGGGAAGGGCCGGGTGTAGGGTAGGGTAAGGGCTGACTAGGGGAGGGCATGGGGCAGGATTAGGGGCACGAATGATGGCTTCAAACATGGTTCTAATTATGTTACATTACACTGGCAGATCGACACAACCTTTAAGAAATGTTTATTTACATAGTGAGTGGAGAGGACAAGTGACGACGCCGCCTGCCGGGTGTGGGCCCGGGGAGGACATGCCCCGGGGAGGACATGCCCGGGGAGGACATGCCCCGGGAGGACATGCCCCGGGGAGGACATGCCCCGGGGAGGACATGCCCCGGGAGGACATGCCCCGGGAGGACATGCCCCGGGAGGACATACCCCGGGGAGGACATACCCCGGGGAGGACATACCCCGGGGAGAACATGCCCCGGGGAGGACATGCCCCGGGGAGGACATGCCCCGGGGAGGACATGCCCCGGGAGGACATGCCCCGGGGAGGACGTACCCCGGGGAGGACATGCCCCGGGGAGGACGTGCCCCGGGGAGGACATGCCCCGGGGAGGACATGCCCCGGGAGGACATGCCCCGGGGAGGACGTGCCCCGGGGAGGACATGCCCCGGGGAGGACGTGCCCCGGGGAGGACGTGCCCCGGAGGACGTGCCCCGGGAGGACATGCCCGCCGCCATCTTGGCCGCGGGCTACAGGCACAAACATCCTAATAAACATCGGAATATGATTCATGTTGTGTTTATTTGTGTTGATGACAGAGTGTCAGATCAGCGCTGATGATCAGGGTAGAGAAACACTTCCTCTTCCCTCCCTTACTCTCTACCTCCCTTCCTCTTCCCTCCCTTACTCTCTACCTCCCTTCCTCTTCCTTCCTTTACTCTCTACCTCCCTTCCTCTTCCCTCCCTTACTCTCTACCTCCCTTCCTCTTCCCTCCCTTACTCTCTACCTCCCTTCCTCTTCCCTCCCTTCCTCTTCCCTCCCTTACTCTCTATCTCCCTTACTCTCTATCTCCCTTCCTCTTCCCTCCCATCTCTCTCCCGTCCATCCCTTCCCTTCCCTCCTCCTCCTTCCATCCCTCCTGTCAACACTGTCATATATGACAGTGTCAGACGGAGGAAGATGGAAACAGGAATTTCCTGCATGTTTCAATTCTTCCTCCGTGGTCTGACACTGTCACATTTTTCATCACGTGTTAACGTCACGGTGTGTGTGTGTGTGTGTGTGTGTGTGTGTGTGTGTGTGTGTGTGTGTGTGTGTGTGTGTGTGTGTGTGTGTGTGTGTATATATATATATATATATATATATATATATATATATATATATATATATATATATATATATGCGAACAAGCCTGAATGGTCCCCAGGACAATATGCAACTGAAAACTCACACCCCAGAAGTGACTCGAACCCATACTCCCAGAAGCAACGCAACTGGTATGTACAAGACGCCTTAATGATGGTCAAGTGGATTAAGGCGTCTTGTACATACCAGTTGCGTTGCTTCTGGGAGTATGGGTTCGAGTCACTTCTGGGGTGTGAGTTTTCAGTTATATATATATATATATATATATATATATATATATATATATATATATATATATATATATATATATATATATATATATATATATATATATATAATATAATGTATATAATTCCTCTAACACTGGGTCCTCTAACACTGGGTCCTCTAACACTGGGTCCTCTAACATTGGGTCCTCTAACACTGGGTCCTCTAACACTGGGTCCTCTAACACTGGGTCCTCTAACATTGGGTCCTCTAACATTGGGTCCTCTAACACTGGGTCCTCTAACATTGGGTCCTCTAACATCGGGTCCTCTAACATTGGGTCCTCTAACATTGGGTCCTCTAACACTGGGTCCTCTAACATTGGGTCCTCTAACATTGGGTCCTCTAACATTGGGTCCTCTAACATTGGGTCCTCTAACATTGGGTCCTCTAACACTGGGTCCTCTAACATTGGGTCCTCTAACATCGGGTCCTCTAACATTGGGTCCTCTAACACTGGGTCCTCTAACACTGGGTCCTCTAACATCGGGTCCTCTAACATTGGGTCCTCTAACATCGGGTCCTCTAACACTGGGTCCTCTAACATCGGGTCCTCTAACATTGGGTCCTCTAACATTGGGTCCTCTAACATCGGGTCCTCTAACATCGGGTCCTCTAACATCGGGTCCTCTAACATCGGGTCCTCTAACACTGGGTCCTCTAACACTGGGTCCTCTAACACTGGGTCCTCTAACATCGGGTCCTCTAACACTGGGTCCTCTAACACTGGGTCCTCTAACATCGGGTCCTCTAACATCGGGTCCTCTAACACTGGGTCCTCTAACATCGGGTCCTCTAACATCGGGTCCTCTAACACTGGGTCCTCTAACATCGGGTCCTCTAACACTGGGTCCTCTAACACTGGGTCCTCTAACACTGGGTCCTCTAACACTGGGTCCTCTAACATCGGGTCCTCTAACATCGGGTCCTCTAACATCGGGTCCTCTAACATTGGGTCCTCTAACACTGGGTCCTCTAACATCGGGTCCTCTAACATCGGGTCCTCTAACACTGGGTCCTCTAACACTGGGTCCTCTAACACTGGGTCCTCTAACACTGGGTCCTCTAACATCGGGTCCTCTAACATTGGGTCCTCTAACATCGGGTCCTCTAACATCGGGTCCTCTAACACTGGGTCCTCTAACACTGGGTCCTCTAACATCGGGTCCTCTAACATCGGGTCCTCTAACATCGGGTCCTCTAACATTGGGTCCTCTAACATTGGGTCCTCTAACACTGGGTCCTCTAACATTGGGTCCTCTAACATCGGGTCCTCTAACATTGGGTCCTCTAACATTGGGTCCTCTAACACTGGGATGGTGTTCCACACCCTGATGGCTCGGTGCTGCAGTCTGATGTTTAGTGGCTGTATGTTCAGGAGTTCGTGGAGCTCCTGGATTGTCTGATCATATGGTGGACGGTGTTTTGCTGCTCTCCTTAGCGCCTTATTTTGTACTGCTTGCAGTTTCTGCATGTTAGTTTTCTTTAAGGTGTGTAGTGGTACTGGGGGATACTCTAGATGCATATGGTGTGTAGTGGTACTGGGGGATACTCTAGATGCGGCCGAACTAGAGCCTTATATAGGTGGATCTGAATGTTTGTACTGAGGCTTCGGAATCTCCTCAGTTTCCCTAAGGCTGCTTTGGCTTTGTGTAGTCGGTCCCTTACTCCCCACCACACACTGCCGCTCCTTCTCTGATAGTCAACACCGCGACGCTACTGGGCTTGGCCCCCCTCCACCTCACCCCTACCGCCCCCCCCCCCAAACGTCTTCCTGTTCTCCCCCCCAACTCCCACCTCCCCACACCTACTCCTGGTCCCCCACCCCATTCAATCCCTCCCCATCCCGAGAATATTCCCCTCATACAGTCCATTACCTCTTCTGCTTCCTCCCCCACACCACCCGACGGCGTGCACGGAGGAACAAGATGGCGTGCACGAACAAGAGGGCGTGCACGAACAAGAGGGCGTGCACGAACGAGAGGGCGTGCACGAACGAGAGGGCGTGCACGAACGAGAGGGCGTGCACGAACGAGAGGGCGTGCACGAACGAGAGGGCGTGCACGAACGAGAGGGCATGCACGAACGAGAGGGCGTGCACGAACGAGAGGGCGTGCACGGAGGAACGAGAGGGCGTGCACGGAGGAACGAGAGGGCGTGCACGGAGGAACAAGGCGGCGTGCACGGAGGAACAAGGCGGCGTGCACGGAGGAACAAGAGGGCGTGCACGGAGGAAGAGGGCGTGCACGGAGGAACAAGAGGGCGTGCACGGAGGAAAAAGAGGGCGTGCACTGAGGAACAAGAGGGCGTGCACGGAGGAAGAAGAGGGCGGGGTGCACGGAGGAAGGCGGGGTGTGGGTGGGAGGAAGCAGTGTTTAGTGAGGCCGTACACGCTGGAGTAAACAGAAGAGGGTGCGGGAGCGCACGTGGCGCCCGCGCCTGTCCTCACTCCGTCAACAGTAGCGTATTAATTACCTCCACTTCAAGCATGGTAAGGGGGGGAGGGGTGTTGGGGGGGGGTTGTCAAGGGAGGGGTGATGGGGGTGGGCAGGGGAGGGGTGATGGGGGGTGGGCAGGGAAAGGATTGGGGGGGAGTGGTTGTCAGGGGAGGGGTGTTGGGGGTTGCCAGGAGAGGGGTTATGGGGGGTGGGAGGGGGTGTTGGGGGTTGCCAGGAGAGGGGTTATGGGGGGTGGGAGCGGGTGTTGGGGGTTGCCAGGAGAGGGGTCATGGGGGTGGGAGGGGGTGTTGGGGGTTGCCAGGAGAGGGGGTGTTGGAGGGGGTTGGTTGGTTGCTGTCCGCTCCAATATGCGGAGGTATGCACAGTACTGGGATTCATGGTCATTAGAACAGGGATACAAATTCATGTAAGGGACCGACTACACAAAGCCAAAACAGCCTTAGGGAAACTGAGGAGATTCCGAAGCCTCAGTACTAACATTCAGATCCACCTATATAAGGCTCTAGTTCGGCCGCATCTAGAGTATCCCCCAGTACCACTACACACCATATGCATCTAGAGTATCCCCCAGTACCACTACACACCATATGCATCTAGAGTATCCCCCAGTACCACTACACACCATAAAGAAAACTAACATGCAGAAACTGCAAGCAGTACAAAATAAGGCGCTAAGGAGAGCAGCAAAACACCGTCCACCATATGATCAGACAATCCAGGAGCTCCACGAACTCCTGAACATACAGCCACTAAACATCAGACTGCAGCACCGAGCCATCAGGGTGTGGAACACCATCCCAGTGTTAGAGGACCCAATGTTAGAGGACCCAGTGTTAGAGGACCCGATGTTAGAGGACCCGATGTTAGAGGACCCGATGTTAGAGGACCCGATGTTAGAGGACCCGATGTTAGAGGACCCGATGTTAGAGGACCCGATGTTAGAGGACCCGATGTTAGAGGACCCGATGTTAGAGGACCCGATGTTAGAGGACCCGATGTTAGAGGACCCAATGTTAGAGGACCCAATGTTAGAGAACCCAGTGTTAAATTACTCCAAGATGAGACGCCCCACTTCCACAGCTGGTGGCCCAAGAGCCTCGATTTACTAGATGAAAACCCCGCCCCACAGTACATAATTCCCAGATGATATACTGACCAGAAATCCCTCTCCCCCCCCCCCCCAATACACACCGCCATAGTGACAGTATTGGGCAGCGCCACTCATCCTGTGAGTGGACACACCGCCATAGTGACAGTATTGGGCAGCGCCACTCATCCTGTGAGTGGACACACCGCCATAGTGACAGCATTGGGCAGCGTCACTCATCCTGTGAGTGGACACACCGCCATAGTGACAGTATTGGGCAGCGTCACTCATCCTGTGAGTGGACACACTGCCATAGTGACAGTATTGGGCAGCGTCACTCATCCTGTGAGTGGACACACCGCCATAGCAGCATGTACAATACTCCCCAATTGGAAGAAAACCCGCTGGGCTGTTCATCCTGTCACTTGTACCCAGACACAGCTGGGACTTGCTTAACTGTCTCAAGTGAACAGCTCCTCAAACAAGAAGATTAACATTCGTCAACCCTTAAAAGCTTACGTTATCTTGCGGGGGCAAAATGGGGGAATCTTTTAAGAACAGTATCAATATTTGACAAATAGTGTTTTCCTAACTCAAACAATGTGGGGTTTATTATTCTACACATATTTCTAATGTCTCTCAGGTGTTCACATTCACTCAGGTAGTGGTCAAGGCGGTGTCCGTCACTCTCACCACAGATTCTGCAACTCCGCTGCTCAACTGTTGTTTCCATTCCGTATCTCCATGGATATTTGTATCCAAGACGGATTCTCGCTATTACTGATTCTCTCCCTCGTCCTCCTCCTCTTCGTCCATAATGATTGGGATTGCCAGCTGCAACCATGTTGTACCATCGTACAGATTCACTGGTTTGTGCTTCTATCCTCCTTTCCTCAGTTACCTAGTCACGGTGATGTTGCCTGACAATACCTCTAATTTGTAGTAGAGTCTTGGGTATGAAGTATTCAATATGGTCTCCTTCAGCGCCTTCAGCAGAGAGCACATCTGCTCGTTCACTCCCACATATTCCCACATGGGAGGGGCTCCCCAACATGGGAGGGGGCCCCCCAACATGGGAGGGGGCCCCCCAACATGGGAGGGGATCCCCCAACATGGGAGGGGATCCCCCAACATGGGAGGGGATCCTCAGGAATTTGACGACTCTTCCCTGGTTGGTTAGCACCCTCACAGTTCTCTTGATCTCGGCGACTGTTGCAAGGTTTTCTACCCGATTTTAAGTAAGGCTTTCTGGCGCTGCTTTCGAGTCAGTGCAGATCACTGCGCCATTAGTGTTTAGTTCAAGGAATCTTAACGCCATAACAATGGCAGTCAACTCTGCTTGCTTTGAAGAGACATAGTTCTCAATATGTGCTTTTTCTTCATTTCTGCGTTGGAAAGCATTATTCTTGATTACCGTGTATGCTGCACCAGCCCTGCCATTGACAGGATTAGATGACCCGTCAGTGTAGACTTGATTTAGTTCATTTCCGGCTTCTTTATGAAATTCCTTGAGATACTTGTGCCTCATTTCTTGTGGTAACATGTTGGATTTTTTCGTTGCCATTTCATTGATGATAATCCTGCATGAGTCATCCTCCCAGGGAGGTAACCTCTCTACAGGCATGTCCATTCCAGGTCATAGCTTTCAGTGCCCTGAGTCGACTTTTGCATGTTCCTATGAGTTGGTTGAGCTCCTCTTTCTTCCCCTTGTTAGAGCCGACAGTGACGCCAAGGTACCGATAGTGGTCAACCCATTCAAGTGTTACACCATTAATTTGTAGTTCTATATTTTCTCCCCTCTTGTGGTGAGAGTATTATTTGGTCTTGTTTCACGCCAGTAGTCTCTCGCGTTACTCAACCAGTTTCTTGGTGGCGTTCGTGTGGGAGATGGTGGTGGTGATGTCTCAGCCCTGGTGCTGGGTATTGATCAGGCCAGACGCCCTCTCTCTCTCTCTCTCTCTGTCTGTCTGTCTCTCTCTCTCTCTCTCTCTCTCTCTCTCTCTCTCTCTCTCTCTCTCTCTCTCTCTCTCTCTCTCTCTCTCTCTCTCTCTCTCTCTCTCTCTCTCTCTCTCTCTCTCTCTCTCTCTCTCTCTCTCTCTCTCTCTTTCTCTCCCTCTCTCTCTCTGACTAAAACTAGGGTTCATCAGAAAAGCCATTGCTGTTGGCAATGAAACTGAAAGCCAAGAGCTGAGATGCTACATCACCTGAAGGCTGGGGTCACGCTGGAGCCAGCTGGGGTCACGCTGGGGTCAAACTGGAGCCAGCTGGGGTCACGCTGGCTTTGAGACGATCCCAATAATTTAGGTGTTTTATCTCGTCTATGCGTGCCGTATATGTTCTCTGTATTTCCTCTATTTCAACAATCTCTCCTGCTCTGAAGGGGGAAGTGAGTACTAAGCAGTACTCAAGACGGGACAACACAAGTGACTTGAAGAGTACAACCATTGTGATGGGATCCCTGGATTTGAAAGTTCTCGTAATCCATCCTATCATTGTTCTGACTGACGCAATATTTGCTTGGTTATGCTCCCTAAACGTTAGGTCGTCGGACATCATTATTCCCAAATCCTTGACATGCTATTTTCCTACTATGGGCAGATTTGATTGTGTTTTGTACTCTGTATTATGTTTAAGGTCCTCATTTTTACCGTACCTGAGTACCTGGAATTTATCACTGTTAAACATCATGTTATTTTCTGATGCCCAGTCGAAAACTTTATTAATATCTGCTTGAAGTTTTTCAATGTCTTCAGCCGAGGTAATTTTCATACTGATTTTTGTGTCATCTGCAAAGGATGATACGAAGCTGTAATAATTAGGAAATCCTATAATTAGAAATATGAATAAGAAATTTAGATTCATCATACACACACGTCAGACTAATCCTGGAATATGCAGCGCCAGTCTGGAACCTTATCGTGTCTAACCCAAAATGAATTTGGAAAGAGTCGAGAGATATCTAGTCCCAGAACATTGAATTACGAGTTCAGATAAAAAAAGTGGGGGAATAAGGAATTAGGCCTAGCGTCACCGGAAGAGAGAAGGGTTAGGGGGAGACATAATTACCACGTACAAAATTCTCCGGGGAAGTGATAGAACAGAGATAATTTGGGATGGATGGAAGAGAAAGAAGGGAGGACTGAGACACTGTGACGGTGAGAAGTGAGGCGGAGGAGACCACCCACAAACAGTACCGTGTACCTCGACGTACCGTGAGCCCATGTACCGTGTACCGAGACGTACCGTGAGCCCAGGTACCGAGACGTACCGTGAGCCCATGCACCGTGTACCGAGACGTACCGTGAGCCCAGGTACCGAGACGTACCGTGAGCCCATGTACCGAGACGTACCGTGAGCCCAGGTACCGTGTACCGAGACGTACCGTGAGCCCAGGTACCGAGACGTACCGTGAGCCCAGGTACCGAGAGGTACCGTGAGCCCAGGTACGGATCTGACACAGTCCAGTTGAGTGGGTACACCGGCTGAGTGAAGCAGCCAGCGTGCCCAACAAGCTCGACTCTTCACAGCTTGATGAGCACCCGGGAGCAGCTCACAATGGCTGCCCTTGTACCCCAGGGCGAGTGTGTGCCCGGGGTGGGTGAGACAATGTCCGCCTGCCCCCAGGGGAGTGCTGGGGACCCGCCCCCAGGGTGTGTGAGACAATGTCCGCCTGCCCCCAGGGGAGTGCTGGGGACCCGCCCCCAGGGTGTGTGAGACAATGTCCGCTAGCCCCCAGGGAAGTGCTGGGGACCCGCCCCCGGGGTGTGTGAGACAATGTCCGCCTGCCCCCAGGGGAGTGCTGGGGACCCGCCCCCAGGGTGTGTGAGACAATGTCCGCCTGCCCCCAGGAGAGTGCTGGGGACCCGCCCCCAGGGTGTGCGAGACAATGTCCGCCAGCCCCCAGGGAAGTGCTGGGGACCCGCCCCCGGGGTGTGTGAGACAAAGTCCGCCTGCCCCCAGGGGAGTGCTGGGAACCCGCCCCCAGGGTGTGTGAGACAATGTCCGCCTGCCCCCAGGGAAGTGCTGGGGACCCGCCCCCAGGGGAGTGCTGGGGACCCGCCCCCAGGGGAGTGCTGGGGACCCGCCCCCGGGGTGTGTGAGACAATGTCCGCCTGCCCCCAGGGGAGTGCTGGGGACCCGCCCCCAGGGGAGTGCTGGGGACCCGCCCCCAGGGTGTGTGAGACAATGTCCGCCTGCCCCCAGGGAAGTGCTGGGGACCCGCCCCCGGGGTGTGTGAGACAATGTCCGCCTGCCCCCAGGAGAGTGCTGGGGACCCGCCCCCAGGGTGTGTGAGACAATGTCCGCCTGCCCCCAGGGGAGTGCTGGGGACCCGCCCCCAGGGTGTGTGAGACAATGTCCGCCTGCCCCCAGGGAAGTGCTGGGGACCCGCCCCCGGGGTGTGTGAGACAATGTCCGCCTGCCCCCAGGAGTGCTGGGGACCCGCCCCCAGGGTGTGGGAGACAATGTCCGCCTGCCCCCAGGGGAGTGCTGGGGACCCGCCCCCAGGGTGTGGGAGACAATGTCCGCCTGCCCCCAGGGGAGTGCTGGGGACCCGCCCCCAGGGTGTGTGAGACAATGTCCGCCAGCCCCCAGGGGAGTGCTGGGGACCCGCCCCCGGGGTGTGTGAGACAATGTCCGCCAGCCCCCAGGAGAGTGCTGGGGACCCGCCCCCAGGGTGTGTGAGACAATGTCCGCCAGCCCCCAGGAGAGTGCTGGGGACCCGCCCCCAGGGTGTGTGAGACAATGTCCGCCAGCCCCCAGGGAAGTGCTGGGAACCCGCCCCCAGGGTGTGTGAGACAATGTCCGCCAGCCCCCAGGGAAGTGCCCCCGGGGTGTGTGAGACAATGTCCGCCAGCCCCCAGGGAAGTGCCCCCGGGGTGTGTGAGACAATGTCCGCCAGCCCCCAGGGAAGTGCTGGGGACCCGCCCCCGGGGTGTGTGAGACAATGTCCGCCAGCCCCCAGGGAAGTGCTGGGGACCCGCCCCCGGGTGTGTGAGACAATGTCCGCCAGCCCCCAGGGGAGTGCTGGGGACCCGCCCCCAGGGGAGTGCTGGGGACCCGCCCCCAGGGAGTGCTGGGGACCCGCCCCCGGGGTGTGTGAGACAATGTCCGCCTGCCCCCAGGGGAGTGCTGGGACCCGCCCCCAGGGGAGTGCTGGGGACCCGCCCCCGGGGTGTGTGAGACAATGTCCGCCAGCCCCCAGGGGAGTGCTGGGGACCCGCCCCCAGGGGAGTGCTGGGGACCTGCCCCCAGGGGAGTGCTGGGGACCCGCCCCCGGGGTGTGTGAGACAATGTCCGCCAGCCCCCAGGGGAGTGCTGGGGACCCGCCCCCAGGGGAGTGCTGGGGACCCGCCCCCAGGGGAGTGCTGGGGACCCGCCCCCAGGGGAGTGCTGGGGACCCGCCCCCGGGGTGTGTGAGACAATGTCCGCCTGCCCCCAGGGGAGTGCTGGGGACCCGCCCCCAGGGGAGTGCTGGGGACCCGCCCCCGGGGTGTGTGAGACAATGTCCGCCAGCCCCCAGGGGAGTGCTGGGGACCCGCTCCCAGGGGAGTGCTGGGGACCTGCCCCCAGGGGAGTGCTGGGGACCCGCCCCCGGGGTGTGTGAGACAATGTCCGCCTGCCCCCAGGAGAGTGCTGGGGACCCGCCCCCAGGGTGTGGGAGACCGCGGGGGGTCCACACGCCCCCCTGCCACCAGTCACAGCCTGGAGGATCACCATGCCCCCTGCCACCAGTCACAGCCTGGAGGATCACCATGCCCCCTGCCACCAGTCACAGCCTCCAGGATCACCATGCCCCCTGCCACCAGTCACAGCCTGGAGGATCACCATGCCCCCTGCCACCAGTCACAGCCTCCAGGATCACCATGCCCCCTGCCACCAGTCACAGCCTCCAGGATCACCATGCCCCCTGCCACCAGTCACAGCCTGGAGGATCACCATGCCCCCTGCCACCAGTCACAGCCTGGAGGATCACCATGCCCCCTGCCACCAGTCACAGCCTCCAGGATCACCATGCCCCCTGCCACCAGTCACAGCCTCCAGGATCACCATGCCCCCTGCCACCAGCCACAGCCTCCAGGATCACCATGCCCCCTGCCACCAGTCACAGCCTCCAGGATCACCATGCCCCCTGCCACCAGTCACAGCCTGGAGGATCACCATGCCCCCTGCCACCAGTCACAGCCTCCAGGATCACCATGCCCCCTGCCACCAGTCACAGCCTGGAGGATCACCATGCCCCCTGCCACCAGTCACAGCCTGGAGGATCACCATGCCCCCTGCCACCAGTCACAGCCTGGAGGATCACCATGCCCCCTGCCACCAGTCACACCTGGAGTCACATGCCCCCTGCCAGGATCACCATGCCCCCTGCCACCAGTCACACCAGCCCCCTGCCACCATCACAGATCACCATGCCCCCTGCCACCAGTCACAGCCTGGAGGATCACCATGCCCCCTGCCACCAGTCACAGCCTCCAGGATCACCATGCCCCCTGCCACCAGTCACAGCCTGGAGGATCACCATGCCCCCTGCCACCAGTCACAGCCTCCAGGATCACCATGCCCCCTGCCACCAGTCACAGCCTGGAGGATCACCATGCCCCCTGCCACCAGTCACAGCCTCCAGGATCACCATGCCCCCTGCCACCAGTCACAGCCTGGAGGATCACCATGCCCCCTGCCACCAGTCACAGCCTCCAGGATCACCATGCCCCCTGCCACCAGTCACAGCCTGGAGGATCACCATGCCCCCTGCCACCAGTCACAGCCTGGAGGATCACCATGCCCCCTGCCACCAGTCACAGCCTCCAGGATCACCATGCCCCCTGCCACCAGTCACAGCCTGGAGGATCACCATGCCCCCTGCCACCAGTCACAGCCTCCAGGATCACCATGCCCCCTGCCACCAGTCACAGCCTGGAGGATCACCATGCCCCCTGCCACCAGTCACAGCCTCCAGGATCACCATGCCCCCTGCCACCAGCCACAGCCTCCAGGATCACCATGCCCCCTGCCACCAGCCACAGCCTCCAGGATCACCATGCCCCCTGCCACCAGTCACAGCCTGGAGGATCACCATGCCCCCTGCCACCAGTCACAGCCTGGAGGATCACCATGCCCCCTGCCACCAGTCACAGCCTCCAGGATCACCATGCCCCCTGCCACCAGTCACAGCCTGGAGGATCACCATGCCCCCTGCCACCAGTCACAGCCTCCAGGATCACCATGCCCCCTGCCACCAGTCACAGCCTGGAGGATCACCATGCCCCCTGCCACCAGTCACAGCCTCCAGGATCACCATGCCCCCTGCCACCAGTCACAGCCTCCAGGATCACCATGCCCCCTGCCACCAGTCACAGCCTCCAGGATCACCATGCCCCCTGCCACCAGTCACAGCCTGGAGGATCACCATGCCCCCTGCCACCAGTCACAGCCTGGAGGATCACCATGCCCCCTGCCACCAGTCACAGCCTCCAGGATCACCATGCCCCCTGCCACCAGTCACAGCCTGGAGGATCACCATGCCCCCTGCCACCAGTCACAGCCTCCAGGATCACCATGCCCCCTGCCACCAGTCACAGCCTGGAGGATCACCATGCCCCCTGCCACCAGTCACAGCCTCCAGGATCACCATGCCCCCTGCCACCAGCCACAGCCTCCAGGATCACCATGCCCCCTGCCACCAGCCACAGCCTCCAGGATCACCATGCCCCCTGCCACCAGTCACAGCCTCCAGGATCACCATGCCCCCTGCCACCAGTCACAGCCTCCAGGATCACCATGCCCCCTGCCACCAGTCACAGCCTGGAGGATCACCATGCCCCCTGCCACCAGTCACAGCCTCCAGGATCACCATGCCCCCTGCCACCAGTCACAGCCTGGAGGATCACCATGCCCCCTGCCACCAGTCACAGCCTGGAGGATCACCATGCCCCCTGCCACCAGTCACAGCCTCCAGGATCACCATGCCCCCTGCCACCAGTCACAGCCTCCAGGATCACCATGCCCCCTGCCACCAGCCACAGCCTCCAGGATCACCATGCCCCCTGCCACCAGTCACAGCCTGGAGGATCACCATGCCCCCTGCCACCAGTCACAGCCTGGAGGATCACCATGCCCCCTGCCACCAGTCACAGCCTCCAGGATCACCATGCCCCCTGCCACCAGTCACAGCCTGGAGGATCACCATGCCCCCTGCCACCAGTCACAGCCTCCAGGATCACCATGCCCCCTGCCACCAGTCACAGCCTCCAGGATCACCATACACTGAATAAAGTTTTCCTCGACAAGAAAAGAAACATTTCGCAGGTTTGTAGGACTCCAAATGACCCAATTACGGCTTTAACGGGATACGAACCCGGGGTCTAATTATAGTCGGCGACCAGCACCCGCCCTGACCCGGCCCTGCCCCCCTAGCTCCTGCCCCCCCTGGCTCCTGCCCCCCCCCCCTTGGCTCCTGCCCCCCTAGCTCCTGCCCCCCCCCCCTGGCCCCTGCTCCCCCTGGCCCCTGCTCCCCCTGGCTCCTGCCCCCCCTGGCTCCTGCCCCTCCCTGGCTCCTGCCCCCCCTGGCTCCTGCCCCCCCTTGGCTCCTGCCCCCCTAGCTCCTGCCCTCCCCTGGCTCCTGCCCCCCCCCCTTGGCTCCTGCCCCCCTAGCTCCTGCCCCCCCCTGGCCCCTGCCCCCCCTGGCCCCTGCTCCCCCTGGCTCCTGCCCCTCCCTGGCTCCTGCCCCCCCTGGCTCCTGCCCCCCCCTGGCCCCTGCCCCCCCCCTAGCTCCTGCCCCCCCCTGGCTCCTGCCCCCTTCCCTGGCTCCTGCCCCCTCCCCTGGCTCCTGCCCCCTCCCCTGGCTCCTGCCCCCTCCCCTGGCTCCTGCCCCCCTGGCTCCTGCCCCCCTGGCTCCTGCCCCCCCTGGCTCTTGGCCCCCCCCTGGCTCCTGCCTCCCCCCCCCCTGGCTCCTGCCCCCCCCCTGGCTCCTGCCTCCCCCCTGGCTCCTGCCCCCCCCCTGGCTCCTGCCTCCCCCCCGGCTCCTGCCCCCCCCCTGGCTCCTGCCTCCCCCCCTGGCTCCTGCCCCCTTCCCTGGCTCCTGCCCCCTCCCCTGGCTCCTGCCCCCTCCCCTGGCTCCTGCCCCCTCCCCTGGCTCCTGCCCGCCCCCCTGGCTCCTGTCCGCCCCCCTGGCTCCTGCCCGCCCCCCTGGCTCCTAACCCAGGCCCTGTCCCCCTGGCTCCTGGCCCCAGGAATCCTGCCCCAGGTCCTGCCCCCAGGGCCCCTGCCCCCCAGGGCCCCTGCCCCCCAGGGCTCCTGCCCCCCCCTGGCTCCTGCCTCCCCCCCTGGCTCCTGCCCCCTTCCCTGGCTCCTGCCCCCTCCCCTGGCTCCTGCCCCCTCCCTGGCTCCTGCCCGCCCCCCTGGCTCCTGTCCGCCCCCCTGGCTCCTGCCCGCCCCCCTGGCTCCTAACCCAGGCCCTGTCCCCCCTGGCTCCTGGCCCCAGGAATCCTGCCCCAGGTCCTGCCCCAGGGCCCCTGCCCCCCAGGGCCCCTGCCCCCCAGGGCTCCTGCCCCCCCCTGGCTCCTGCCCCCCCCCTGGCTCCTGCCCCCGGCCCCCCCCCCCGGGCACCAACACAGCAAACATTTCCTCTGCGTCTCGCGCTCTTTTTTTTCTGACTAATTTTGGAGTGAGTTGTTACCAGATCCCCAGTGATTACCCCCCCCCCCCCCCCCCTGGTCACCCCCCTCCCCCTGTGGCTCCTCACCCCGTAGCCCACCTGGTGGCGCCACACCCCGGGGGCGGGGCCACACAGACCAGTCCACCAATCACAACTGCTGGTCCATTTTTACCTGGCCGCTCCCGCCAGTAAGATTAGAGCGGGAGATAATGTGCGGCCACCTTCCTCTCTGGTGGCCGCCCTGGCCACTATGGCCGCCCTGGCCACCATGGCCGCCCTGGCCACCATGGCCGCCCTGGCCACCATGGCCGCCCTGGCCACTATGGCCGCCCTGGCCACCATGGCCGCCCTGGCCACCATGGCCGCCCGGGCCACCATGGCCGCCCTGGCCACTATGGCCGCCCTGGCCACCATGGCCGCCCTGGCCACCATGGCCGCCCTGGCCACCATGGCCGCCCAGGCCACTATGGCCGCCCTGGCCACTATGGCCGCCCTGGCCACTATGGCCGCCCTGGCCACTATGGCCGCCCTGGCCACCATGGCCGCCCTGGCCACCATGGCCGCCCAGGCCACTATGGCCGCCCAGGCCACTATGGCCGCCCTGGCCACCATGGCCGCCCTGGCCACCATAGCCGCCCTGGCCACCATGGCCGCCCAGGCCACTATGGCCGCCCAGGCCACTATGGCCGCCCTGGCCACTATGGCCGCCCTGGCCACTATGGCCGCCCTGGCCACTATGGCCGCCCTGGCCACTATGGCCGCCCTGGCCACCATGGCCGCCCTGGCCACCATGGCCGCCCGGGTCACCATGGCCGCCCAGGCCACTATGGCCCTAAGGGTCTCGTCACTTTGGGTGAAGATATAGCGACTTGTGTGGCATTTACCTGTGATGTTAACCACTTGGTGAGTCTTGGTGAGTGTGAGGTGTTTGTGTACACCACCACCACCACCCCTATATCACCACCACCATCACCACCACCCCTATATCACCACCCCTATATCACCACCACCCCTATATCACCACTACCCCTATATCACCACCACCCCTATATCACCACCACCCCTATATCACCACCACCCCTATATCACCACCACCCCTATATCACCACCACCACCACCCCTATATCACCACCACCACCACCACCACCACCACCACCCCTATATCACCACCACCACCACCACCACCACCCCTATATCACCACCACCACCACCACCCCTATATCACAACCACCACCCCTATATCACCACCACCCCTATATCACCACCACCACCCCTATATCACCACCACCACCACCCCTATATCACCACCACCACCCCTATATCACCACCACCACCCCTATATCACCACCACCACCCCTATATCACCACCACCCGATCACCACCTCCTCTTGTGTGGCACTGTGTCAAAGGCTTTCTGACAATCCAAAAATATGCAGTCTGCCCACCCTTCTCTTTCTTGCCTTATTTGTGTTGCCTGGTCGTAGAATTCAAGTAACCCTGTGAGGCAGGACCTGCCATCCCTGAACCCATGTTGATGCTGTGTTGCTGTGTTACAAAGTTCTTTCGCTCCAGATGCTCCACAAGCTTTCTTCGCACAATCTTCTCCATCAGCTTGCATGGTATGCAGGTTAGGGACACTGGCCTGTAGTTCAGTGCCTCCTGTCTATCCCCCTTCTTGTATATCGGGACTACATTAGCTGTCTTCCAAATTTCAAGCAGTGATTTGTTATACACTATGGAGAGTGGCAGGCACAGTGCTTCCACTCCTTCTTTTAGTATCCAAGGAGAGGTTCCATCCGGGCCTATAGCCTTTGTCACATCCAACTCTAGCAAGAGCTTCCTTACATCCCCACTGGTAATCTCAAACTCTTCCAGTGGTTCCTGGTTAACTTTCCTTTTTTATCTCTGGAACTTCTCCTTGCTCTAATGTGAAGACCTCCTGGAATTCTTATTCAGTTCCTCGCACACTTCCTTGTCGTTTGTAGTGAATCTGTCTGTCCCTATTTTCAATTTCATAACCTGTTCCTTTGATGTTGTTTTTCTCCTGATGTGGCTGTGCAGCAATTTAGGCTGAGTCTTTCCCTTACTTGCTATGTCATTTTCGTATTGTCTTTCTGCTTCTCTTCTCACCCTGACATATTCATTCCTGTCACTCTGATATCTTTCTCTGCTCTCAAGGGGATCCTTCTCCTTGAGAAAATGGAAAAACATCTCAATTCCCGTTGAGATGTTCCCCTGAATATCTGGAGCGAAAGAACTTTGTAACACAGCATCAACATGGGTTCAGGGATGGCAGGTCCTGCCTCACAGGGTTAATTGAATTCTACGACCAGGCAAGAAAGAGAAGGGTGGGCAGACTGCATATTTTTGGATTGCCAGAAAGCCTTTGATACAGTGCCACACAAGAGGCTAGTGAAAAAGATGGAGATGCAGGCTGGAGTGTTGGGAAGGTACTCCGTTGGATAAGGGAGTACCTAAGCAACAGAAGACAGCAAGTCACTGTGAGGGGCGAGGTCTCAGATTGGCGAGACGTCACCAGTGGAGTCCCGCAGGGATCAGTCCTTGGGCCTATACTGTTTCTGATATATGTAAATGATCTCCCAGAGGGTATAGAATAGTTCCTCTCATTGTTTGCTGATGATGCAAAATTTATGAGGAGGATTAAAACAGAAGAAGATAGTAGGAGGCTACAAGATGACCTAGACAGACTGAATGGTCTGACAAATGGCTACTGAAGTTCAACCCGAGTAAATGCAAGACAATGAAACTAGGCGGTGGAAACAGGAGGCCAGACACAGGATATCGAATAGAAGATGAAGTACTTCATGAAACAGACAGAGAGAAAGATCTAGGGGTTGATATCACACCAAACCTGTCTCCTGAAGCCCACATAAAAAGAATAACGTCTACGGCATATGCGAGGCTGGCTAACATCAGAACGGCGTTCAGGAACCTGTGTAAGGAATCAATTCAGAATCTTGTACACCACATATGTAAGACCAATCCTGGAGTATGCGGCCCCAGCATGGAGCCCGTACCTTGTCAAGCACAAGACGAATCTGGAAAAAGTTCAGAGGTATGCCACTACACTAGTCCCAGAACTAAGAGGCATGAGTTACGAGGAAAGGCTGCGGGAAAGGCACCTCACGACACTGGAAGACAGAAGAGTAAGGGGAGACATGATCACAACCTACAAAATTCTCAGGGGAATCGACCGGGTAAACAAGGATAAACTATTTAACACTGGTGGGACGCGAACAAGGGGACACAGGTGGAAACTGAGTACTCACATGAGCCACAGAGACGTTAGAAAGAACTTTTTCAGTGACAGTAGTTAGTGACGTTTCAGTGACGTGAGTGTGCGTGAGTGTGTGTGTGTGTGAGTGTGTGTGAGTGTGTGTGAGTGTGTGTGAGTGTGTGTGTGTGTGTGTGCGTGAGTGTGCATGAATGTACGTGTTTGCAAATTAGGTTTTGTGTGGTGGTGGAGGTGTGGAGAGAAGAGCCCGGGGAGGATTATTATTATTAACATCTTTATTGACAAAATTAATTACAATTTTGCCTAATCTGAGGATTTTGATAGTCTTATTAAATTGAGGATAATGCTAGTATTCACTGTCA